TTAGAACCCACTTAAACCACAAAAATAAGTCTTGTTTATTATAAGTTTGTTTATGTGGAAAACTATCCAGCTATTATTCCTTTGTTTCAAGCAAATCTAGCCAGAGCTATTAATCTATGGGTCAGTATCTTATGCAACCTTAGGAAATCATAGCATTTGCAGAATTCATGGTTAGGTTAAGGTATGGGAAAGCAAAAATGCAAATGACGGCATGTGATACTTATCCAATAGTCAGCAAGTACCTCAATTTAAGTAGCTCAATTCAACTCAATTTATTTAATTACAAAATATGAGAGCCCATCAGGCTCTAGACTGAACTGGGAAGTCATAAAAACACCCCAGAAGAAGCCCAAAGCATAGCACTTCTGCAATGCCGCTACGCTTGGTACATGGCTCTGTCTAGATTGTTTTCAGATGCTGAGCTGCAAATGATTCATCTGTTAATTTACGTAGGTAGTCACCTTTTAGAGCAATGAGTTTTACTAGCTGTTAGCATTAGATGACCCTATTAATTACCATGATTATAAGTGTAATAAAGAAAATAATGTTATAGTCAACTTTGTTTAGTTCTCAATATACTAGAAGAAAATCATTTCAAGAAAAAGAAAATGAGAGAATTCTTATGACCATAGAATTCTACTTTAAGTGTTGTAGTTTTGCACTTTTTTCCTTTTTCAATATTTAATTATGTTTACTATTTAAACAGTTGCAATTGTTAGAATTTTACAGGAGTTGAGGAGATTCTGTCTCATTCACAGGAATTTCACAAAAACTAGTCAATAATTTCCTGAAGGTTCAGGAAAATATGTATTATATTATAAAAGCTAATCAGTCTCTCTCTCACAGGTGTACTGTTCACTGTTCAAAATATTTAACAAATGATTACTTCAGTGAGTTTAGAAAATCATCCCTACAGTTATAGGAAAACTGAAGATATTTTCATTACTTTAAACTCTCAAGTTATCAAAACTGAACTGCCAATACCGATGTCTAATAAAACATTTCTAAACATTTACTTCCTTGTTGATGGAAAAATACACAAAAGGATAAGCATTTGAATTCTACAGAAACCTTCATATTTGCTGTGTGCTCAAGTTATATTCTAAGCATCTTCCAGATACAAGGTGCTTACAAAAGGTGCTTATTACTTATTACTATAAGCTAAGTAACAAAAGAAAGCTCATTGTCTATTTGCTAGAGATACTTTGCATTTTTGTTTTCTCATTTTTCATTGCTTTGCAAAATGCAAAAAAATATATCTGAATAATTAACCTATACAACAATGGAAATGAAACAAAATGAATTTCTTGTCTGTAAAAAATTAACTGAAAAACCAAAACCTATGACATAGTTATGTTCTGGACTGATAATCAGATTTTCCTCCCAGACATGCCTGTGACATCTTTTTTCTTGGATAATTTATTTTAGGTTAAATTGTAGAAGTTATGGTGTCTGGTTTTTTTAAAAAGACATTATGCACTATACAAATGAAAGGTTGAATGTAATCCATGCTACATGTATTAAATACTGGTGATTATGACTTACAGTATTTTGTGAATGTATGTACCAAACTCTGGACATACTTCTAAGCAAAAAAGCTGGCAATTTGTAAAGTCAATGAAGGCAAATCTGCAATCATTGGAAGATAAAAGGGACAAAATCCTATGACTATTATCAGACTATCTAACAGAAGCTTATATGAGTCAGTTGCGTAATTCACCATAGAACGCTGTTTTGTTTTCCTATAAATACTGATGTAGATTTAAGGATTTACCTAGCTTTCATTCACCCACCTTACCGCATATTCAGACAGCACACTAAATCAAATAGTTCCAGCCCTGGCATCTCTCTGTTTACTTTGAGACCATCAGTCAATCTGTTCCAACATTTCTGTATAATACATACAAACATAAACCTTACTCACTTGTTTTCTTCCCTCTAGGTTTACAATTGATTTAAAGCTTCACTCTATAGAGTAGGGGACTACACAGTCACACAGCCATACCCTCACATCACTATTACAATGGCCAAACATGTTGTGCTTGTTGTGCTTTAACATATGATTTTCAGTCAACATCAGTATTGAATAAACTTTCTTTGCTGTTAAAAAAGTCTGTGATTGAAAATCTGCTACAAGGCAATGAGTGCCCTCTAGTGAAAAAACTGGCTGAAAAAGATGCAGGGAGGAGTAAATGTGATGATGAAGTCCAAAGAATGTGCAAGATAGCTCCTTTCTTTTGCTTTCACCTGGGTTCTTACTCTGTAAATAAAAGATGAAAGAGTGATCACAGGAGGATACAGGTAAGGGAAGTGTTGCAAAAATTTAAAATAGACAATGTCTTGTGGCAATTATTTGTGGAATTACAGAAACATAATGTTGATACACTCACGTGATGTCTCCAAATCACTCCCACAATGAATTCTACTTTCCCCTGTCTTACATTTCCTATTTCTTGTTAAATTATTACATCAAAATTAGACTGTTTTCTGTATCATTTGTAATTTGCAAACAATAATGGCAACATCTCTTCCCTAATATGAATGAAATAAAAAGGTTTAGGGCAGCCAGAAGTGGATTTTCATCTGGAACAACTATGTGTTGCTAGGATTACTTAAAGAATTACTTTAAGAATCTTGGACTCCTCAAATCTCAGGATTCTATTTTAAAAAATATAAAGCAAAACGATCTTGCAGACATGAAGACTGAGTAGTCCAGTCCGGGTCCCCAGCAGTATTTTGAACTCTTCTTCCTCTTTTTGGCCACCGTGTTGCCAGATAGATGAATACAATGGATATTGTTTCTCAGTTGAAATAATATCCAGTGAACCATCTTCTTTTCTTTCTTTGCTATGCTTCTTGAACTTTTTTTCCCCAAGTATATTTTCTGTATCTTTTCACAACATCTGTATATCTAATCTTCATTTCAGTTTTTCTCTGAGTTTAGAATTGTTTTAACAGCTATCCATTCTATTTTTATGAATTCTAGTAATGTATGAAGCAATCAGAAGCAGTGATTTCGTGGGGATGCTTTTTATATATAGTATGAACAGAAATAACACAAAAAAAATGGTCTTCTGGGATCTGGAAAAAATGCATGAAGATAAGGACAACAAAATAAGAGGATATGAATTACTAAATATCTCATATTCAGCTGAGAGGAACGTAAGTAGAACCAGTTAAATAGTCAGGCTACACTAGATTTTTTTTAAAAAAACTAAAAAAAATCTGGATGATATATGAATATCAGTAAAATAAGATGTAAATGTCCATGTCATCATCAGCAATCAGGCTCAGGGAACTTTATGTTCTAATACTTCGTGAGTTTCTATTTGGAGTTCATGTACAAAATAAGCACATGGCCATTCATTCATTTCAGCAATAATAAGACAACCAATTGAAACCTATTTCCTTATAATCCACTAATGGGATTTATGGAAGTTGTACCAAGGTATTAAAATAAAGAAAGATATATTTCAATATAGTTAATTAAGACAGTTTCTTGCCTTCAAGCCTTTCTTCTAGTATCTACCCTTGACATGAAGAGTCATTTAACTGATTAATCAGTGCTCTTTCAGACATAACTGAATTAATTGCTTCTCTTCTCAGGGATGCTTCCCATGATGTACAGAATAGTATCCTAGTTAGAAATAGTTAGAATTTCACCTAAAAGTTAATCAAAAATGTAAAAAGCAGCTATCTGAACTTGTATATTTTTTCTTTTTTATGTATCTTTTAAAAATGGCATAAAGTTTATTCCAGAGTAAAGTAGTAAATAGAGTCAGCCAATACTTTATATACAGGAAATGTTTATCATTTTTTAAAGATAATTGTTTTGAAGATATCTAGAAGTGCATTAAAAATCAAAATGATTAAAAATCATCTAACATCACAAAAATTGTATGTTAAAAAGTTTTGTTTCTAAGACATTAGACAGACACACACACACACAAATACAGACACACACGTGTGTGTCTGTCTAATGTTGACACACACACACACACACACACATTGTGTAGGTATGCTGGTCTTGTTGTATCCGGGTCTTTTCTCGTGTAAGATTTTTAAGAATGCAAGAATCTTACACGGGAAAAGACCCGAATTTTCCTATGGGGATTTACTGCGTGGATACCATTTTTTCAAAAAAATTATGTAACAGTTGCGTGTTACCTAAAGCTGCGCTTCCTAACATAGTGTTAATTGTTTACTACCACATTTGTGCAGTAAATTGTTTTCCTGATGGATCTCTACATAGCAATCAAAGTACATTCAGGCAGCCAAACCCATAGTGTGTACTTAAAATTGGATTTCATTATGAGCAACAGACCTTTAAACTTTGGACAACACAAACAACAAAATCCTAAGTAACATCTCCTAGAGCCTCTGAAAAACAAGTGAGGAGAAAGATTAGGAATAAATGATATAGACTAGGTTTCCCCTACCTAGTGCTCTCCTAATGCTTCCTCCAGCTAGGGAAGAACTGAAACACTGCAGATTCTACTCACAATGCAATTTAGGACCCAAATCAAGACAAAATATTTCTGGCAAATTTCTGGATGCCGCAAGTTTCTTTCTGACAAGCTTCTGTCAGAAAGAACTAAACCCCACTCCAGCTTTCCCTGGGATGGGGGTCTGGATCAGAACCCTCCAGCAGAAAAGGAGAACTTTTGAAAAACCCCTGTAGCCAAAGTTGATTGGACCCAAAGGTCAACATGGAAGGCCCCAGTTGGGATGGTGGGGAAAAGCTATCCTGAAGTGAAATATCATCCTGAAAAGGTGGGGGATGACTACCACATCCACCCACTCACTCAAGGGAACAACAGAATCGTGAGTCTTGCTTTGCCCCTAGGCACGCTGATGCGTCTCTCCCCACTCTCCCCCCCCCATACCAGATGCTTCACTCCTACTGGCTGTCGTAGCTCTTGCGTCACACGGAGGGCAGTAGGCGATTGGGAGAATGCTGCCCGCGTCTCCTTTTTTGACTAATTATAAAGTCGTCTTCCCCACTTCTTTGCTCCTGATTTTCCTGAAGAGTTCCGAAGCCCAGAAGAGAGAACCTTTCTTGGAAGCAAAGGAAGTCATCCCACCAGCGCCGCCGTCGCTTCTCTTCGGTAAGATTGATTTGTATTATTGCAGTGGACCGTTCTTCCCCCATCTGCCACTCCTTTCCTCTCTCCTCATCCGTTATTCATTTCTTTCTTTCCCTTCTTTGTTCTGCATCTTCGTTAGTTAGCATCTTGGAGAAAAGCCCCCGCGTAGTTCTTCCGTGGGATCTTCGCCGAGAGGTTCTGATCGAGAGACTTCGCCGCTCACTTTAAGAAGCGCACCGTATCTTGCGGAGCAGAGGAGAAATGTAAGTCTGGACGTGGGGGGGGAAGGAGGGGACAGTTGAGCTACAGCTCTAGCCTTATCCAGTTTTTTCTTAGCCTGGATTTCACTCGCGCACCTCCCGTGGCTTTTTGCCGGCGGAGATGCAAAAGGAATCAGATTACGCGGCGAACGGGATGAAATTCGTTCGTCGCTGGTTCTATTACAGCATCTGGAACTGTTCATTGTTCAAGGTTAAATAATCCCGTGAAAGAATGTTAAGTATTTTATGGTTTACTTAGTTTGTTACTAAGATATTTTCCCCCTCTTTTTTTCCAAAGTTATACGGAAACTTTGTATAAAAGTCAACATTTATAAAAAGGACTGTTGCTATTTGGGATCTGATAAAGGGGAAAAAATTACATTCGATTTCAAAGAATGGATTCTAATTGTATGTTTTCATTGGATCCAGCCTAGGTTGGCCAGCAGGATCAGAGGTCTTCTGAGCTTTGGTGTTGAAGCCCATCCTCCGGGAACTTCTCTCTCATAGTGTGTCCTTTGGACTATTCTATGTGTGGTTATATGGCCGCTATTGTGTGTGGCTTTTTAGATAATGATTGGGGTTTTAGGTGTTGACAGCCACCTTATAAGTACAGCACACAGAATAGTCCAAAGCACACACTCTGTGAGAGAGAAGTTAGCAATAGCAATAGCAGTTAGACTTATATACCNCAGCAGTTCAATTCTCACTGATTCAAAATTGATTCAGCCTTCTATCCCTCCAAGGTCAGCAAAATGAGAATCCAGATTGTTGGGGGCAATTTGCTGCCTGTGTAAACTGCTGAGAACGGGCTGTAAAGCTCGACAAAGCAGTATATAAGTCTAAGTGCTATTACTGTTGCTACTTTGCAAGGCTCTAGGACAGGAGTGTCAAACTCGCAGCCCAGATGCATCACACACCAGCTACACCCACCCATCCACCCCCAGTTTAGCAAAGGGGGGAAAAGTTGCAATACATCACATGACAATGTGTTGCCATGAGTTTGACACCCCTGTTTCGGGATTTGTATGGCATGTGATTTTCTTCTTGATATCAAGATTTTATGATTACAGCCATAAAATGTGCAACAGAACTATATGACATAAAGCCACATAGCATTGTGTAAAAATGTCTGAAAATCAAACTGTAATTCTTTTTATTCCTCTTACATTTATTCATTAATCTACTCTCTTAATTATTAAAGAGAATGGGGTATATCTGATATTTGAACATTCCTGCTGTGGCTCATCAGCCTTCATAAGGAAGATGATAATTTAAAATCCTTCCAATCTTCAATTCTTTAACTGTAGTTCAACTCTTAGAAAAAGCAGATAATATTAAGATTTCTCTTTTGAAGAAAATAAGAAAGAGAAATACTTTGGATGATAATATAAAAAATAAAATTAAAACAAACCACTTCAGGAGGCCTGAAGCAGAGAAATGCTAATTATTCACTCTGCACAAGAGACAGCAAATCACATTACTGATGAAAGCAATTGGAATCACTTATCAATTTATTATTTGCAATATTCATCTACAACAATAATTCTTCAGCATTGCATTTCTCAAATCAGTTAAGCACATTTTAGGACTTATTTGTTTTGTATGAATGTTGATTATGAAAAGGTCTCTCTCTATACTATTAAAACTCCAAATTTCAAATTGTTTATCACTGAGAATTCATTTACGTGATTATAATTTGTTCCCTTTGGAATTGCATCTGTATTTCTTTGATATAGAAGTTTTGATACAGGAAAATAGCAGACAATACAATACAGTACAATACAATAGCAATAGCAATAGCAATAGCAATAGCAATAGCAATAGCAATAGCAGTTAGACTTATATACCACTTCATAGGGCTTTCAGCCTCTCTAAGCGGTTTACAGAGTCAGCATATCGCCCCCACAGTCTGGGTCCTCATTTTACCCACCTTGGAAGGATGGAAGGCTGAGTCAACCCTGAGCCAGTGAGATTTGAACAGCCGAACTGCAGAACTGCAGTCAGCTGAAGTAGCCTGCAGTGCTGCATTTAACCACTGCGCCACCTCGGCTCTCCAAGGACCTCCAAGGTCCCTTCCAACTCTGTTATCCTATTTCTATTAATTCTCACTTCTAGCATGGTACATCTGCCATGGCTATCTCATAATTAAATGATTACAAAAAGCT